GATGCTACATCCAACCAGAAAAAGTCGATACTCCGCATGGCCCTCAACTTTTTCTTAAGTGGAGAAGTCCTTTATATGAGGACCCCAGATTTGGGTCTTCTCAGATGTGTTGATGCTGTTGAAGTTGTGAAGCTTATTGAACATATACATGTTGGAGTTTGTGGTACGCATATGAATGTGCTTACTTTGGAAAGAAATATCCTTCGAGCCGAGTATTTTTGGATGACTATGGAGAACGATTGTTTCAAGTTTGTGCAAAAATGCCATAAATGTCAAGTGCACGGTGATTTGATCCGAGTGCCACCTCACAAACTTAAGGCTATGAGCTCACCTTGGCCGTTTGTAGCTTGGGGTATAGATGTCATCGGTCTGATAGAGCCAGCCGCTTCTAATGGACACATTTTTATTTTGGTTGCCATTAATTATTTCACCAAGTGGGTGGAATCAACTTCTTACATGTCGGTAACCAAGAAAGTTGTGGCTGATTTTGTTCGCAACAATTTGATATGCAGGTTCGGAGTACCAGAATCAATCACTATAGATAATTGTGCAAATCTTAATAGTCACTTGATGAGACATATATGTGAGCAATTTAAGATCACGCACCGGAATTCAACCTTTTATCGTCCCCAATTGAATGGAGCTGTAGAGGTCGCCGATAAGAATATCAAGAAGATTCTGAGAAAAATGATTGACAATTACCGAGGTTGGCACGAGATGTTTCCATACGCTTTATTGGGTTATCGGGCGACTGTCCATTCATCGACTGGAGTTACCCCATACTTGCTAGTATATGGAACACAAGCAGTCATACCGGCTGAAGTGGAGATACCATCTTTGAGAATTATCCAAGAAGCTGAGTTGAGTAATGCTGAATGCGTCAGCAAGAGAACTGATCAGTTAACTTTGATTGACGAGAAGATAATGATTGTCATTTGTCATGGTCAATTATGTTGACAGAGAATGATTCGTGCTTTCCACAAGAGAGTCAGAGCTAGAACTTTTGAAATTGGTCAGTTGGTCCTTAAGCACATTTTCCCTTATCAAGACGAGTACAAAGGAAAATTCGCACCAAATTGGTAAGGTCCTTACATGGTTCGCAAAGTATTATCTGGAGGTGCTTTGGTCCTGTCGGAGATGTATGGCACCGCGTGACAAAAACCGATCAACTCAGATACTGTCAAGAGATATTATGTGTAAAGTTTTAGTTTTTATTCCTATCATTTACTTGTAATTGTTCTATCTGCTTGTATTTGCTTGGTTTAAATTTTGTCCCTCTTGTAACGAACTACGTCTGACCTGAATTCTCAAGAATGAGATACGTAGGCGGCCTATGTCGGTCTCGGTCACCCCATTTATTCCCTTTAATTATTTCATTGTATTTGAACTAAGTTCGACCTGAATTCTCAAGAATGAGATACGTAGGCGGCCTGTATCGCCCTCGGTCGGTTTCTTTGTAAATTTCTCTTTCGTTAACCTTTAAGGGGGAACTATGTTTGACCTGATTCCTGCCTCAACGGGATACGTAGGCGCCACAAGGGTTCGGTCATATCTCTTGTAAGATTTCTATTCCTCTTTACAATAGAAACAGGGACAAATTTTTTGAGAGGGACTCGAAAATTCTCGAGAAGAAGATTCTTCCTCAGCAAGTCAAGACTGAAGATATTTTGAGATTTGTAACTAGGACATAATTTTTGAGATATGACAGAATTTTTGAGAATATCTCAAAAATTCCACGATCTACTCAGTTTCAGTGGAAAGATAAGCAAGACAGTTAACTGAGAGAGAAATTTTGAGGATGGCCTTAAAATTTTAGCATGGGTTTATCTACAAGTCCAGAGTGACTCTAAAAACTCCCCAATGAATAATCAGATAAACCTCCACGCTTCAGGCTCAAAGAAGTTTGTTAAGCCTGATATAACATGACTTAGAAGTGACCTTTTTCAGATACTATTTCTCGAAAATTTATTTCTCTTAAATTTTTCCTTTAACGTTTTATTTGTTTTGGCATAAAATATTTTGTCTTATCTATCAAGATTCAGGAGATCGAGAAATCAACCATAGATAGCAGGAGAAGGAGCAGACAACTGAAGAAATCGACACAGATCAATTCATTTTTAAAACTAACAATTATTATGTGGATGCAGGTTTATAGATTTGCTATGAAATCAGCAAATTCTTTCGATTTATGAATATGAAGAAGTCAAAGGAGGAAAAAAACTATCCAAAAATCAATAGTTTTCCTAGAAGCAAGAATCATTATATATCGCTTATGTTGGAGACTTGAGAATATGAATTGTTTATTTCAATCAATTTCCAACAACATGACATTTATTAAGAACGTCGAGCTAGATTCGAAGGTAAATCAAGCGAAATATCAAGAAAGAGTTTCGGTTTCCATAAAGGACGTCATTTGCACCATAATGTCGGATATGATATTATGCATAACCCGGAGGGGTCAGTTATTTTATTGGCGATCAAGACGATATACTATCTTGAAGTAGTCTTTTTACCATTATCATCATGATTATCCAGAAAGAAACCAGAAGATCATTATGTTTTTCGATTGAAGCACTATTTTCATTTAGTACCAAGGATGACATCAAGAGTTAATATCTGTGCATCACAGGAAGATATTCATGTCCTGTGGAAGATCATGCATCGCCAGTCAATATCCATGCATCGCGAAAGATCATGCTTCGCGAGTCAATATCCATGCATCGCAAAAGATCATGCATTGCAAGTCAATATCCATGAATCTGGAAAATCATGCATCGCAAGTCAATATTCATGCATCGCGAGTTAATATTCAAGCATCGCGAGAAGATTGCATACCTGGAAGAAATTTGTGCATTGCGAGAAGATTTCATACCTCACAGAAATTTATGCATCACGAGAAGATTTCATACCTCGTAGAATATTATGCATCGCGAGAAGATTTTATATCTCATAGAAATTTATGCATCACGAGAAGATTCCATGCCTTTTTGAAATTTATGCATCGCGAGAAGATTTCATACCTCGCAGAAATTTTTGCATCGCGAGAAGATTTCATACCTCGCAGAAGTTTATGCACCATGAGAAGATTCCATGCCTCATTGAAATTTATGCATCGCAAGAGGATTTCATGCCTCGTAAAAAAGTTATGCATCATGAGAATATTTCATACTTCGCAGAAATTTACGCATCGGGGGAAAATATTAATGCCCCGCAAGAAGTCATGCACTGCCAGAAAAGGAAATCGTGCATCCCAAGAGAAATATTTATCCATCGGCATCAACTGCATTCTTTTATTTTGATAAAAGTAAACATCAAGAAGAGCATACAAGACGACATCAAGAGAAATACGAGCACACCTCATCAACTTTCCTTTATGTTGACATCAAATGAAGAATACATTGAAGATTATATTGCCAACACAAGACATAAGCTTTATTTGCTTTACGTCAAACCAATCGAGTTGGCGTCAAATGTCGAGGAGAACAATTAAGTTTAGACATGGTAAAAGACATTGTCTCCCATATTAATTACATTTTTATGTTGACGAGTTTTATCTCAACCTTTTTCGAGAGCATTCGAAAGGATGAATTCTCCAAAAGATACCACATGTGCGGACGACATAAAAAAGGATGCAGCACAACGTGGAAATTTTTTAAGCAGCGAACTGAGACATAGTCCAGAGAGGATTGTCAAAATTTTAGGACGCGAGCAGAGGAGTGGCTTCCACCACAATCAAACCAAACCCCTATCGGAAGGCATGTGGGTTTTTCTTTGGGTTTTGTCAGTTTCAGTTTCCCATCCAGAAACCTTGATATCTGCCGGAAGCAAGCTTCCAATCTGAGTGATAATGCGCCAAGAGCCTTGAAAATTATATCCGTGTAAACTCTTAATTATGGGTGTGAAGCGCGCCACATTCACGGCTAAGAAGTTACAAGCCTCCTTTTCATACTCGTTTAATTTTGCCACTTGTCCAGAGCCAAAGGTTATCTAGAATAATAGATTTCCTTTTCAACCAATCTATTCGAACCACAAATAGCCTGATTCCTAAACTATAAGTATATGTAGGCGAGCTCGGTGATGAAAACTCGGCTGTATTCCAACATTCACTCTTAAATCTTATTCTTGAGCATTTCCGTCCCTTCATAATTCGGTATCGAAATGACCCTTGAATTCTTTCAACTCGTGCGTTAAATCAAGCGTGTAGAACTACAAGTGGTTTGAATTCTCATTCAGCCTGAGATATGTAGGAAACCCATTTCCAGGGCTCGGCCATAATTCCTAAAGTCCATACCAAATATTGTCAGAAAAATTAATTTGTGGTCGGTCAAAATCGAATTGGTCAATTTCATTTTTCTTGAACTTCTTGCATCAGTCCAAGTCAAAAAAGGGACAGTTGACACCCAATTTTGACCTCCCCTGATGTAAATTAACTAACGAGCTTCTCAAATTCTAAACTATTTGAAATAAATAGATTTATGAAGTTACAAAATTTACACAAAATAAAATGGTTTACTTTTATAATTTTTACGAAATATATGATTTATGTAATTTTATATGCAATTAGCACATTTTATATACATTTCAAAAAATCATCTCAAAAGATTTTAGTAGATAATTTATTAAATTGGTTTATTTTAAGTTATGGTTTTATTTTTGTTTTGAATCACTAGTTTGTAATTAAATTAATGATTTTATTTTTTATTTTTATTTTGTTAAAATTAAGAAGCCCGTTAGTTAATTATAATAACTCATCTCATCTAATTTTAGCTGATTTCAACTCAATTTGGCTGATTTAGTTTCACTTGGCTATGCCAAGACCGAATGTGGGCCTTTGTAATTTTCTTTTAGCACCCAGGTCTTGCCAAATCTCAGGCCCAAAGATTGAACTTAAAACCCAGTCCACCATAGAAAATTTCAACCCAATTTCCCCAAATCACCCCAGCCCATGCCTTTTCAGTTGACCCGGCCCAAACCCTTCTCTTCCTTAGCAGAGAGTCCAGAACAATCTGCTGTTCCAAGACTTTTCCCAAAGTGCCAAACGCGGACAACAACAAGGAAGAACGACACACGTGAGTAGAAAACGCGAAGGTCCCATTGATGGTGTTACATGGGAGGTATTAACAATACCAACCGCGCGTGATCCGCACGTCCCAACGTCTTCTTCCTCTATCCCATTCTGCTTTGGACAGTACTTTCGGCTGCAACTTTTGTGCGTTTCCAGCTACTTCCTTCGTCCCCCTTAGCGCGAGATCATGCCACATCGATACCAAGGACGGGAGATCGATTTTAATCGTCCATTCCGCTTTCCCTTTTCAGAATAGAGTTAGAATTTCAGAAAAAGGTTGTTTATCAAATTTAGTGAATTTTTTTTTTGAGAATTTGAATTGGAAGAGATTCCCTCTCTCATCAATTAGTGATCCGTTTCCCCCAATTTTTTTATTTAAAAGCATTAGAAATATCAATAAATTTTTTCTGAAATAGTGAGCTAAAAAGTTGAGTGAAATACTAATTGTTAAGAAGAGGAAACCATTTAAATCCGAAGTTCTTGGAGATATTCCTTTAATCTCAGTTTGGTTCACTTTATTTCATTCATCCAAGTCTTCTCGGTGTCATTCTTAGGGTGCAGAAGTCGGTACTCTTTCAGGTTCACTATTGTCCTTGTTCTGCTGCCCCTCTGAAGGTAATCTTCCATTTCCCTTTTAAGTATCCCTTGCTCTTAATATGTTGTTGATGAGAGTGTAGAGTAGTCGTCTACATGATAGAGTGGGTGATCTATTTTTTTCTATCTTCGGACTCGTCGCTGGCTATTGTGTAGTAATAGAATCTGTTTTTTAAGCTATTATTGTCATTTATTTCCGTTTTCAAAATGATTTGGTGTCTATCTAGCTTACATTGTTGTTTTGTGTTTCTTCGAGCTAATGGCTATTATGCTTGCCTTAAGATTGGACTTTTCATTTGTTAAACATCATGCTTCTAGTCCATCTCTGTTTAGCTAAATATTTTCTCGTTTTGCTATATATCCTTAAGTATCAAAGAAGTCGTTTTATCCTCTCTCTATGGGTCTCCTATTTTATGGATTTCTGCTTGCTCCGTGTGTGCGTTTAGCTATGACTATTTCGTTCTAAAAGGGGATTGAAACCTGCAGCAGGCTGCTTGTCCTAGTGTCAAGTCGTTCAAATGTTTTTCCTTGTTCTGAAAATGAATCTCAAATGTGATGTAGGTTTAGTATGGCTGACATGTTTAGTTTATCGAGTATGTTAATATTTTCCTCTAAATGACTCGACTATTTGTTGTGTTCAAAGAGCATGCCCCTTAACATAATGAACTAGCATAACCAAGCTCTTCACTTATGGAGTTAGTTCGATATCCTCATTCCGATAATTTCACTTAAAGTACGCATGCAAGTTGCTTCTACATGAAAATCTATGATTGCCATTGTTTGCCATTTATTAATTTGGTTTGTTTTGGTTTCCCATATAGCCACTGTTCATTCTTTTGCCTAATCTTTTTTGGTTTTATGCTTTCTTCTTTCATTGTTTTGTTTGTTTCTCAAAAGACCTTTTGTTATGTTTTCGTCTTGATTTGTTCCATTAGTTTTACTTTGATACGGATACTAATTCTCTCTTTTTTACCAATTTGTTGTATGAACCTCCTCCGAGTTCATAACGGAGTTCTTTAGTTGCATTCTTATATTCGAGCCATGAAGGCTCAAATCTCTTGTCGCCTTCGAGTCAGCCAGATTGCTATTGTGTAGAGCAAAAACCTTAAAACAAAGGCTGGAAATGGAGCTTGCAAGTTCCAAAAAGCTAAAATAAGTGTTGATATGCTGTTGTATATAGCGATATATGGTCCAAAACACCATGATACGTGTGTGGAAATTGATATTACATGTGTAAATAAGGAAAACTCAAAGGTGTGCAGGTTGAATACATCAGATACTGCTGGAAATTCATTTTTGCAGCCCCAAAGGGCCTAAAACGCAGTGATATATCATCTGTATACACTGATATACAGCTGGAATATAGCACAGATGGGTGCGAAACGTGAAAATGCAGGTGAAACGTGCAGGGACATCGAATTCAAATAAAATACAGGCTAGGGATTCCAAGAATCGGTAGTATACGTGATGTATACATCAAATATACACTTGGTGTATATCATGGAAAATGTGGACAAAAAGGGCCTAAATCTTAAAGAATTTTGGGCCCAAGTCCATTTGTGATAACTAAATAAAAGAACTTTATCTTTTAGTCAAAACATGAAAAATTATATGAAAGTCATTTTTAGTCAAATCGCTAGTCAACCGCGAGTTAGCGGGCATTCCGAGGGCCTAGCACCTTCTCGGAATGTATATTTGAACTTCGAACCCCTTTCAATCCGTTTTTATCTGTTTTTAAATCTTTTGAAAAATAAATTTTAACTTTCTTGAAATTACTAAAAAATCAAGTGGCGGCTCTGTTAATTTGAAAGGTCGATTTCTCTTAAATCATAAGATTAATTTTTTTTGAAACTTAGTCATTTTCACTTTACATATATATTTTTAATAAAACAGAAACCCTTCATTACATTTTGGGATAAAAAATGCCCTAATTTTTTCCTTAGAGACCACATATACCCTCAAGAGTTAACACCCATACTTTTATTGACTTGGCAAGCCATGTGGGACTAATCCTTTCACCTAAGCATCGACAACTAGGATTCACTACAAAAGAACTAGACTTTTAGTGGCGACATCAGTCGCCACAGAAGCCCAAAAATCGTCACCTAAAAATTTTTAACATTAAATTCAAATTTTGTGTTTTTTTCTTCATTGTTTTTAACAAAACAAAAATTATATTGATTAAGTAGGAGTTTGAAGATACTGTATGTTTTATTTTTATGTCATATGTAAATGTATAAAATGTACAACAATGAATTATATAGTAGGATATGTGAATCGAGAAGTAACTTTTATGATTTTTCATAATAATATTGGTTGTTTTAAATATTGATATTGCAAGTTATTTATTTTAGAAAATTAGGTTGCAATTGAAAATTAATTATCATATTTTTTTTGTTTAAAAATAGATTTTACTAGCGAATGGTTGTTGGAACCTTAGTCGTCACTAAAAATCACTCATAACACCTTTAGTGACAATATTTTGGTATTTTGTGACAACTTTATCGCCACTAAAGGTTAAGTTCTTTTTAGTGAATCTTAGTTGACAACGCTTAGGTGGAAGAATTAGTCCCATGTGACATGCCAAGTCACTAAAAAATTGGGGTGTCAACTCTTGAAGATATTTATGGTCTCTAAAAATAACGACGGGGTATTTTTGATCCCAAAAATAATGGAGGATATAAGTGATCTATTTTGCATAGTTTACGAGCAAATTGACGCTTTTCCGTTTTACTTATTGTTAAAAGGCATTGATTATAAGAAAAAACATTGCTAACTAATGAAAAATTAAACAAAAAAGATTGAGAATGATTAATCATTCTCTTTTCGATCCAAATGCATGACCTTGGTTGAACTAAGTTAAAAATATTTGTACTTCAGTAAGCATTGTTGGTAGAGTAACCAAAAGAATAATATTTGTGATTGTCCAAACAATAGAAAACATCCTTGTTGTTGTCGTGAAACATTTGAAAGAAACTCTTTCTTTTATAATTATATTTAACTTACACAAGGATATATATATATATATATATATATATATATATATATATATATATATATATATATATATATATATATATATATGTATGTATGTATTGATTACGATACAAAGATAACAAAGTCTAAACAAAGTAGGATATCAGAAGAAACCAAGACATAGTCGAACTCGTCTATGTTATCGTCATCATTCCCGCTCAAGTTGAGCAGGGTGCTAAACCAGTGTCTACTTGAACTTCAATTGATGAAATCGTGACTTCAACAATGGCTTAGTCAATAGATCAGCTATCTGGTCATGTGTGTTGACATAACAAACCACAAGAGTTTTAGCGCGAACCTTGTCTTGAACAAATGAAAATCAATCTCCACGTGTTTTGTTCGATAATGAAAAATGGGATTGGCAGTCAAGTATGTAGAACTGAAATTATCACACCAAAGAGTAGGAGTAAAGGAGGTGAAACAACCAATCTCACGAAGAAGGAACTCAACCCAACTGAGTTCAGAAGTTGCAGCTGCCAGGGCCCTATACTCAGCCTCAGTACTCGATCTAGGGACAGCATGCGGCTTTCTTGAAGACTATGAGATCAAGTTGTTGCCAAGATATATGGCAAAGCTAGTAGTTGACTTTCGATCATCCACATCGCCACCCCAATCAAAATCTGTGAAACCATGAAGTAGGGTGGTTGAGGTACGTGATAAGAATAGACCATGAGCAGGTGTAGATTCGATGTATTGCAAAAATATGCTTCACTCCACCCAATGATTGTCCATACGACAATGCATAAATTGTGAAACTTTATATACTGTGTATGCTATGTAGGGACGAGTGAATGTCAAGTATTCTAGGGCACCAACTATACTACGACACAATGTAGGATCACTGAAAGGAATTCCACCAGAAGAGGAAAGCTTCGCAGCTGGGGAAATGGGAGTAGTAACAAGATTATACGAGTTCATTTTTGCTCGGCGAAGAAGATCAGTGACATACTTGTGTTGCGATAAGAATAATCCTTCCTTCATCTAATTTGCTGTAATACCCAAAAAATAGGACAAGGTGCCTAAATCCCGGACGGTAAACTGAGATTGAAGTCGAGCAACCAAAGCCTTGATAAGTTGATATGCACAGGGTTATTTCCCATTACTAAAATATCATCCACATATACTTAGCAAAAATGTTTGTCACCTGGAGTGGACATATAAAACAGAGAGCTATTAGTCTTAGAACCCATGAACCCAAGTGAAAGAAGAGCATCAATGAGATGCTTGTTCCACATTTGAGGCGCCTGTTTGAGACCATAAAGAGAGCGCTTAAGTAGGCAGAAATGATCGGGATGAGAGGGGTCAATAGCAGGAGGCTGATGCATATATACCACCTCATCTAAGTGTCCATGAAGAAAAGCATTGGAGATGTACAGTTGCGTTATATGCCAACCGTTAGTCACTGGTAACGAGAGTAACAAATGAACAGTAGTTGTTTTAACAACTGGACTAAACGTATCCATAAAATCAACCCCAGTCCATTGATGATATCCATTTTCAACGAGATAGGCCTTGTAACGTTCTAAGGAACCATCAACTTTCAATTTTATTTTAAATATCCAGCGACAAACCAATGATATTTTGCGACGGAGATGGAGGAACAAGTTGTCATTTGCAATTTTGTATTAAAGTGTTATACTCCTCAGCCATAGCACTACACCAATGTTTAGTCTTAATAGCCTGAGTATAACATGTAGGTTCCTCAAATGAAGGAGTAATAGCAGACATGAAAATGGTTGTTGCGGCTTCAACCAACCTGTTTGAGACTGAGTAACCATTCGTCGAGCAGGTGCTGAAGGCAACTGCAACGGAATACATTCAAAGGCACTAACTAGCAAGTCACATTTAGATAGGTAAACATATTGAGAAATTTCATTAACTGAGTGGTGATTCGGTAAAGGTTGAAACGTTCCAAATGTAATTGGAAGGGTTGTAGGTGTAGGACCAACTTGACTGAATGGTGAATGTGGCTGGGAGGTAGGCAAAACTGGAGGTGGTGGCGGAATTGTTGGAGATGTAATTGGAAGTTAGAATGCGAGAGGATTGTTGGTGGCATTGGTTGATGTTTCGGTCACCATAACATCTAGTGATGAAAAAGGAAACACACTTTCATAAAAAATAAATGTCGAGATACAAAAACTTTGGAGGAAATAGGATGAAAACATTTATATATCCTTTATAAATTTTACTATATCCCAAGAACACACAAGATTTTGAACGAGGTGATAATTTGTCCTTCGTATACGGACGAAGCCAAAGAAAGCAAAGACAACCAAACACACACAATAGAGAATAATCTGGTTCAATTCGAAATAGTACTGGAAAAGGAGATCGATTTTGCAATCTAGGCGTAGGTAATCTATTAATGGTGTAGACTGCAGTTTCAAAAGCATTAGTCCAAAAGCGAGAGGGAACATTAGCATGATATAGTAATGCTCTACCAGCTTTCACGACATGCCTATCATAGCCATTTTGTTCGGGTGTATAAGGACAAAAAGAACGTTTTGTAATTCAATTATCACGTAAGTAACTTTTTGAAGCTCGAGACTCACCACCCTAATCAACTTGAAAAGATTTAATTGGACAACCAAAATATTTTTCAATCAAGGTAGGAAATTGAATAAACACAGCGAGGACTTCAGACTTAAAGTGAAGAAGATATATCCAAGTATATTTACTAAAGTGATCGAAAAGATCACATAATAACGATAACCATCATTAGAAACAACTGGGGAAGGACCCCAAACATCTGAACAAATTAAATCAAGAGGCCTGGAGGCCTGAAAACTAGACTCACTAAAAGGGACCTTGTGACTTTTGCTAACAGCACATGTAGCGCATAAACTAGAATATTTACTAGAATTTAAAAAATTGATCATAATGATATACGAACTGTAGGATATTATGCATGAGCCAAACGAGCATGCTAAACATCAAGAGAAGTTGCAAAGAAAGTTGGAGATGATAACTTTGTAACTGGTAAGTGAATATAGTCCTCCGCTACTCAACCCTTTGTGTAGTGGTGCCCTCGTTGCCAAGTCCTTAATAAAAAAATGGTTGGGAAAAAATTCAATAGAGACATTATTAGATTTGGTAAAAGAATTTATAGATACCAAGTTTTGAGTAGCAATGAGAACATGAAGAATATCGTCAAGTGTAAATTTTTTTGCAGAAGCTACAATAGAACTTTTACCTATATGAGAAATTGGTAGTTTAGAGCCATTACCTAAAGTTATCTCCTCTGGACCTTGATATTCAGAGTGAATTCCAAGATTATTAAGGTAAGCTGTTAGATGATGCATGTCACTATCTATCAACCAATCTTAGGTAGGTGAGAGTTGGGTGTTTCCTAGGTTGGATACGGGTCTGCCAAAAGATCAAATTTCATTAAGTGTTCTAGGTGACGTACATACTCTTGCTATGTGACCTTATCCTTCATAATTGTGACAAACAATGGGTGATGCATCAGTGATGGAAGACTTCATATTAGAGGATGGAGTATTGTATGATAAACCAATTACTTTGAGCTATCTGGGAGTAACCATGATTGGATGAGTGACCACGATCTCTATTATCTCTACCTCTACCATGTTAGGT